AGATGAACATAAGGGAAAGGAAATAAAAATAATATAAAAACAGGGAGGGGGACAAAGCAGAAGAGACTCATAAATATGGAGAACAAACTGAGGGTTACTGAAGGGGTCGTGGGAGGGGGGTGTGCTAAATGGGTAAGGGGCACTAAGGAATCTACTCCTGAAATCATTGTTGCACTATATGCTAATTTGGATGCAAATTTAAAAAATTAAATTAAATTCAAAAAAAATTGCCAGTCACCCAACCTTCAGTAACCATCAACTCGAGGCAAGACCCTCCACCAGCAGAAAGATTATGTCTCATTGAAAGCTCAGATTGAAAAAAAAAAAGAAAGCTCAGATGATGATTAGCACATTTTATAGCAATAAAGTATTTTTAAATTAAGGTGTATACATTGTTTTCTTTAGACACAATACTATTACACACTTCACAGACTACAGTGAAGTGTGTACATAACTTTTATATGCATTGGGAAACCAAAAAATTCATGTGACTTGCTTTATCGTGATATTTGCTTCATTGTGGCAGGACCCGAACCTTCAATATGTTTGAGGTATGCCTGTACTTCATACTCCAATGACTTCCCAGTTTAATTCATCCTCTTCTCCCCACCCTAAACTCTGGCCCTTTCTATCCTCCTCTTGAGAAAGTGACAGGACCGGTCAACATCCAGTTGTCCAAGTCTGGACCAGTCTTCTCTTGCATTGCAAGCTGTGTGTGCAATGAACACTAGAGTCCTGTGGTGTGTTCCTCCCTAGTATTTGTCCCCGCTGGCTCCTTCTGCACATGCCCACGACTGCTGCCTGGGTACAGGACGTCACCACAGCTCACCTGAATTATGCAAAAACACCCTCACTGCTTTCTGAGTGGCCCCTCAAGCCATCCTTTACACTGGGGGCAGCTCAAAGCTGCTCCTTCAACAGCCCCATGGGGCTTTCAGGATGGACTCCCAGTCACCACACCTAGCACACCCAGTGGAACTTTCTAATATGGCCCTGCTCGCCTCTCCCTGCATGCAAATACGATTGCACATTCTGGTCCCTTTGCCTGGGACCCTCTTCCCACACTCAAAATGTTAAAAACAATTGTGTTAAAATATATTTAAAATTTACCATTGTAATCCACTTTTCTTTGTCTGTATTATTCCTACTTATCCCTCAAATTCAGCTCATGTGTGATCCCTTCTGAAAAACCTTTTCTGAGTTCTCAAGCTGAGGTAGGTGCCTGTCTTTTGTGCTACAAATATCTTGGCTCTTATCCCATTGCATTCTGTGTTAGCTTATGTCTCTTTTTACAGACTCCCTAAGAGAGTCTGTGTCTTATTTAATCTTGCATCCCCAAGGCTTCAGTGTACGGTTGTACAGGTTATGCACTGCACTAGGATGTCTGATTGAGGAAGTAGGTGACGAAGACCATCAGCCAATTGTGCACTCTAGGACGGAGCTGTATCCAGGCCTTTTTCTATCTTGCACAGGGATGCCATAGGAGACATTGGGGGCCCTATGTATCCTCAGGCCTTGTTATCGAATTGGCACATAGTATTATAGTAGGTGCTAATTAAATGTTAAATTGAGTGCAGACAGGTGGATGGATGTTCTACGCAAAGGTACCAGAGGAAGACACAGTGGGTAAGCTGGGATAATGGGATGGTACTGGACGATTTAGGGGGTTTGGAGCCAGTTTGTAGAGGGTCTCTTATGTTGGGCTAGGGGCCTAACTCTTAATCCAGTAGGCAATGAGGAACCTTTGAGAATTTTTGAGAGGACTGTGACTTAGAATCACAAAATACTCAGGCTTGAAAATGGGACTCAGAGAAGTGAAGTGACTTGTTCAGGTCACACAGAAAGTTTGTGGCCAAGCCCGGGCTTGAATTGGCTTTTTTTTTTTTTGCCCCTGGCTCAGTGCTGGCTCTTCTATACTGCTCCCAGAGAAGTCTGCCTGAACGGAGGTGGAGCCCTCCCAGCCTCCAAGAAAAGTCTTCACAGCCTTCCTGAAACATACCCCTGGCGACAGAGGGCAGGGGGACGACGGCCTGGCTGGCTGGAGGTGAGAAAGGAGGACGAGGCTGCAGTGAGCCTCCTTCTGGCCCATCCCTTGTCCGCCTTCAGATCTGTCTGCTCGAAGGTGGGCACATCACCCATTAGCTTTCTGCTCTTCACAAAAGGGAAGCGTTCTGGTTTTTTGAGCCCTTTTTGTTTTGTTTTCTCCGTAAGAAGGATTTCCCTCCTTGAGACACTTTTGGTTGCTCTTCTTCGGGCCCTGGCTAATTTTTTTCAGACTCTTTCAGAACCACCTTCTGCCCTATAGCAGGTCTTAATGAGCACGTGTGGAGTTGGCTTCCACGGAGTGTGGACACTGATCTAACCCGGGGTCTCCCCGAAGGCTGGCCTCCCGCGAGAATGCTTGGTGCCGTGTCTCACCCTGCCGGGACCACGTGTATCATCGGACATCTGTGGTGTTCATGCTAGGATCTTCTGTAACTCGTGATTCTCCTTCTGGCTTATTCCTCACGAGCCCCTTGTCCAGCTCTCCTCGCCCGGTTTCTCGGTACCTCCGTTCTGGACACTGAAGCAGTGACTTTATCCTTGTCCTTTTTCAACTTCATTTCTCTAGTGTTTCAGAGAGATTGGACATCTCGACCTTTATTGCCAGTTATAAGGGCTCCGTCCTTTGGCGCACACAACAATGACATGATCGTCACATATGTATCGAATGCGTGCTCTGCTCCAGACATTGCGCTTGCTGCTTTGTAGCGCTCTTAACCCTCACACGATGCCACAGGATGGAGCTATTATCAGCTCCGTTTTATAGATGTGGAAAATTGAGACACACCAGATCAAGCAACTTGCCCAGAGCCACCCAGCTGAGATCTGTAGGCAGGTGGGGATCCCACAGCTTGTGCTTCTGTTGAGACACCTGGTGCTGCCTCTGCAAACAAGCTTGGAGGCGCTCTGCGAGGTCACTGATAAAATAGAGACTCACACTCCGTGCGAGCAGGTCCAGGGGCCACCAACCGTCACTCTCCGGCTGGATCTTCCCTAACCTGCTCTGTCCCTAACAATTCTAGAGAACACAGCTTGCCCACAAGGCCCACCTGTTTGACAGGTAACTCCCCTCCTTGACACCTGTGTCTAAAGCTTTCTAGTCTATCGCAAGAGGCTCTTTTCATTGATCTGGCATAATGAGCTCTGTACAAAGTCATCATAATTTCCAGAGAGCAGTGACAAATTAAATTGATGGATGATGTCAGTCCACAGCTTTACTAGGGATGAACTTAAGTGTAATTAACGATCATTAATAACAGAACACTTTTTCCCTTTAAATATATAAATTAGGCAGGCTCCACACTTATCCCGTCTGCCTTCACGACGCCCGACCGAGAAGGCTACAGGCTCTGTCATAAGCCCGTCCTAGGTGTTCCAAGTAGAGGCTGTCAGCATTTGAAGACATTTGCCTTTTGCTTCCTGTCCTACTTTCCAGTTTGGTTCCTGAACTGTCCAGCCCATGGGTAACCTTTTCTGACTCTTGGGTAAAGACTGAGATTAAAACAAAAAAAAATGAACCAAAAGATTCTGATGCTTCACGGGCCCCCTGCAGCTAGCTCTCCCCCACCCCATCAAAGGGGTGCCATTCTCTTTGGATTTCCTCTCTTCCTCCAGTGGTCAGCTCCCAATGACCTCTGTGCCTCTGTGAGCAGCTATTCCCTGAGCCGAGGCCTGGCTGTTTGAGGCAGGGAGGCTCACCGGGGGCCCACCTCCCAGGGCCAAGGGGCTGGCCCGTGGCCTCACACCCCCTAGGCAAACTGTTTGAGCTTTTGATGATTTACCTCAATGCTTCTCTTCACTGGGGCAGAAAATTGAGAGATGACCGCATAACTGAGGAATATTTCCCTGTTACCCTTTCCTGAGACCCAACTTGGCTCAGCTCTCAGGGATAGCAAAGTGTCCCCTGTCAGGCATATGTAGTGCTTTCAGGTCCTGGGTTCCCTCTTGGAGTTTGGGTTTCTCACCCCATCATTCCACTTCTCTGTCCCATTCCCCCCTCATTCCCCAAATTCCCAGACTCGATGCCCAGGAACAAAGCCAGAGAGTAAACATGGTTTCCTGTGGTGACAGGGACAAGGGGAGGGGTGGGGGACAGGCAGCTGCCGGCTGCCAGTGCCCGACACTCACCATGCTTTGTCCCTTGATCCCTTCGCAGAAAAGACCGTGTGCTGTTTGCTGCTGGAGGTAAGTAGATTGTCTTTGGGCGTTTTGAATGGCTTTGAGATGCTGTTGGCAGAGTTCTGGCCGCTGAGACAGGCTTTTGTTTTCACCTGTCCTAATGATGTCCTGGAATTGGAGGGTGGAGATGCTGGAGAGGGAGAAGGTCTACACATTGAACCGTGTCTTCTCTCTACAGAGGAAGAAAGAATAGAACTCAGCACAGGCAAAGAGAAAAATGCTTATCTGGCCGGGTCGGCACCCCCGAAGCCCCAGTCCTGACTCCGATTTGTCTTGACATTCGCTCCTCTCTCCCCAACAAGCAGCAATGTCATTCTGAATGTCTGTATCAAATGACACGTGAAACTAATATACCAAGGTTCTCGCAGGAGGCATTTACCAGGCTATCCTTCTGCGAAACCACTTCTATAGGATGAGCAGAGGGGACACCAGCTGTCATCAGAACACAGTGGGATAACCACACAGCCAATCCCCAGTCAGCTACTCAGAGGCCACAAGGTCCCTCAGGGCAGTGAGTAGGGCAGTGAGTAGGGCAGGACTCCCAAGAGAACAAACAGGAAATTCTTGAACCTGAACCCCTCCCACCACGCCCCCGCCCCTCTCTGCAGAAGCAGAAAGGTCTGAAGGACCAGCAGGGCTGAATAAAAGGGTCTTTGTGTGCCAGAAAGTGGCTTGGCATCTGTCCATGGGACACTGTGGCCTCTCCAGGGCTCACCAAGGTCCAGGGCCACCGCTGTTGGGCCAGGACCTGAGGGAGGGCATCAGTGCCTGAGGGAGAAGTCACAGATGTGCGCCTGGGTTTAGGTGGACAGGCACAGCCTCTTGAGGTTCCACAGAAAATCCCAGAGCTCCAGATGAACATCCTCACTTGTTCTCACTTGCTCAGCCCCTGAGAGCTCAACTCAATGGGCAGGATGAGGACACTGACCAAGAAAACAGGTGCATGGGGTAAAGTTCTTAACTGTTACAGGTCTACAGATTTGATCCAAGCTAAGGACCCCCTCTCAAGAAAAATGCATAATTATAGGAAAGAATCCTGGACCCCCAAAAGACGAAGGCTCTGAAATCCTAAGTCCCCTCTCGCTTTCTGGTGCCTACGGCAGGGCCCCACATTATCATTAGTGCTTCATTCATGTGTTGAATAAATAAATGAAATTATAACAGATGTCCTGATGGTGGTGCCTGCCTGGCTAGGTTGGTAGAACATGCTACTCTTGATCTCAGGGTTGTAAGTTTGAGCCCCAGAGTGGGTGGAGAGATTACTTAAAAATAAAATCTTAAAAAAAAAATGTCCTGATGGGAAGAACAAGAGATCACAAATCTGGACATCTGTGTTGAACGTGATAATGAACAAGGTAGAAGGCAAAGATGGCAGTCCACAGTGTCCTTCCATCTCCAAGCTGGGGATCAGCCTTTTCTCATTACTGAGACCTTTCTGGCAGTTATTCCAGGCACCTTGACCTGGGAGAAGAAAGCAAGACCAACCTGACCATCAGGAATGGGACTCTGGGGTTCCTCTGTGTTCCCTCATACCAATGGGCTGCCAGGTTGTCTCAAAGCAGATTGACTCTAGTCCTCTGATGAAGTGGGAATTGGGGGGAAAGTGGATTTTTGAGCATCATCTGGTTGTTTGGTTCTTTGGCCTCACCAGTGCCCGTAGGTTGCCTACACTGAATAACTTTACTGGGTAAGTTTTCTTCATTGAATCAGAGCTGACCTTGCATGCATGTTCAGTCCCTAGCACCATCCTGCAAGTCTTGAAAACCAAGAGCTGATCCCAGGGCATCTTTTGTGATGTAGTGGGAGAACCCTGGGCTGCGAGCCAGAGATCTAGGCTCCGACTGCAACCACACCACATTATTAAGCTTATGATCTGGACTTCACCACTTACACATTCTCAGTTTCCATGTCTTTATCTGTAAATGAAGTGGGTCCCTAGGTGGCCACTAAGGTCTCTTTCTTCTCCATTACCATAAATACAAGACATACTTACAGCAGCGCCTTCTCTTCTCATCCCTCATGATTCCTGAATATCATGGCAATAATTACAGCTGAAGTATTGAAATATTTTACTCAGGCAGGATCTTCCTTGGAGGAATTCATCCTTTGTGAAGTTGTACTGGCCTTTACGACTCCTGTGAGACAGGCAGGAAGCTGCTAGACGTCTCCACCCTCCTCACGGGTGACTGGCCAAAGAAGACCCAGAGGGGCGAAGTGACTCGCCAAGGTCAGGGCCAATGGCTACGCAAGGAATGGGCCTCCGTGCTGTGTGCAGGGGCCTAGCCAGTTCTCAGGAAGGCAGGAAATGGGGTGTACCGTGACCAAGATTTGAAGCCAGGAAACTAGGAAGTGTGGGACTTAGCATCACGGAAGGTTAGGACTGGATCGAAAGTCACCTGGTCCGATCTCCTTGCTGATGGGGGAGGTCAGAGAGGTTATCAGTCGGGAGCCTGCAGGGCAGAGCTAGTTGGGGGCAACATAACTCTGTCTGTCCTTGGGAAGTGTCCTGCTTAGCAATTTTTTTTTTTTTTTTTTGGCAGGGGTTTCCAAAATTAAAATATGACTTTGATTTTTACCACTACTGTTTGGGAACTTTCTTCATTTACTCACTTGCTTATCACTTGCTCAAGCTGACCAAGTGGGTAGGGGGAAAGGATGTGCAGAAACAAATATTCCTCGGCTCTGGTGGAAGAAAAGCTTTGAAAATGAGAAATTTTGTTTTGCCGAACTAAGAGTTAAAAATAATACTAGTAAGTGGAGAGAGACAAATACCATATGATTTCACTCATATGTGGAGTTTAGAAAACAAAACAGACGAGCAAAGAAAAAAAGAGACAACCCAAAAAACAGACACTTAACTACGGAAAACAAACTAATGGTTACCAGAGGTTGGGGGCGGGGTGCGGGGAGTGGGTGAAAGAGGTGATGGGGATTAAGGAGTGCACCTGTCGTGATGAGAACTGAGCGCTGTATAGAATTGTTGAATCACTATACGTACACCTGAAACTAATATAACACTGTATGTTAACTATACTGGAATTATAATTTTAAAATACCACCACTATTACTACTACTAATGCATGTAAACAAAGACCAATCACAAGGAAGGGTGCCATTATGGACAAAATGAATGAGCCAGACCAGTGATTCTAAAGTCGTCCTCTCTGTTTAGTGACCCAGTCAGCACATTCTATTGCTAAATTCACAGAAAAAAGGAAATCAACGGATATGCTTTTATCTTGGTTTTATATTTTAGTTCCATAAATTTTTCTCAGATGACCAATTGGAGAACAAATTGTGTATGAGAGAATTTTCATCAAAACTTGAAAATAGCCTTTCACCCTTAATTTTTTTTCATGTGTGATTTTGTATTGCAATAAGCAGATTAAAGCAGTATTTCCTACTTGACCCGTTCCTTATTGTTCATACCAAAGTAAATCCATCACTATTTCAAGGTATTCCACAAAGAGACCCGTACTTCTGTCCCCTGAGCTTCGAGAACAAGCTTGCCAGCCGCTGGTGCAGGCGAGAAAGGCTGTGTACGAATTTCAAGTGGGGAACTAGGGTCACCGTGATCAGAGCTTCCCCTAGGAGGCGAGTTTCACACTTCACTTGCCGAAGCTTTTGAAAATGGTAGAGCTGGTGTCCTGGGTAGCGCAGAGTGAGCGGATGTTTCAGAAAGACCCAATTCCCATTCAATCTGTGTGTCTCTAGTCTGTGAATACCTGCCTGTAGATAACTTACATGGTTTTGTCTTTTGGTGGAGAGGCGGTGGGCTGGTGATAGGAACGGTGTCTTGGTTTCTTGTAAAAATATATTTCTGTGCGGGTGCGATGTCCCAGGTAAAGTGTTCCAGATTTATATCACAATCATTCTGATACAAGTCCTCACCTGCCCTGGGATTACTTATTTTTTTCTGTTTTGGTCAAGGGAGGGCCTAAGGTAGATCCTTATACTTTTTCTAATTCCATTTGCCCTGCCCAGTAAGAGTTTATAGGACATTGTATTTTTTATTCACTATTAAAATATTTTATAGACTTTTTTTTTTTAATTAGAGAGGTTGAGAGAGTGAGAGAGAGAGAGAGAGCGCGCGCACACGATCAGGGGAGAGCGACAGAGGGGGAAAGAGAAAAGATCTCAAGCAGGCTCCATTCACACTTAGCCCCAATGCAGGGCTTGATGCCATGATCCTGGGATCATGACCTGGGCCAAAAACAAGAGTCAGATGCTCAACCGACTGAGCCAACCAGGTGCCCTTAAAATATTTTATAGACTTGAAAAAAATTTTTTAGAGAAAAAGAGGCTTTTTCTCTAATTTTTCTCATTCTTTGTTAATGTACATAGATGTATTAGCAAAACTGTAATTAATTGATATTTTGGAGTATTCTTTTTTTAACAAACATTATTCTGTTTATACATTACTAATTCCCATATACTGGTCATTTTAAATGGTGAAGTAATATTCAATCATTGCTCTATATTATTTAGCCCCTCTCTTATTATCTACTTACCATCTGGCTTTGTTTTTTTTTTTTTTAACAATATATTTAAAAAGTGTTTTAGGATTATTTCTTTGAGGTATAGTTCCCAAAGTGAAAGACTGCAATAGCTGATAGCTCTTGCAACACATTCTTTCCAGACAGAAAGACCAAACCAATCTGTTGTGCTAATGCTAATATGAGCACCACTTACCTGCTAAAGTGGAAACAGAAAATCACTGTGAGAACACACCTGTAGAATTAAGTGCCCACTACACCAAGAACAGCCTCGGTGACTGATCTTGAATCAGCAACCTCTGGTCTCACCCCTCTGTCCTCTGGCCAACACTACTAATAATTTACTAAGAAGTTCCAATATACCAGGTACTCTACTAAACTCTTGATTTATCTTACAGCATTTAATTCTTACAGTACCCTAAGAGAGATATTATTATTTCGATTCTACAGATGAAAAAAACAGCTTCAGAGACGCAAGTGTTGCCCAAGGTTACAGAACTAGAAAACATCAGAGCCTGTGATCTGATCTCTACCACCCTGAAATCTTGGAAGATGTGGCAGTGGATGGGGAGAGCCTCAGGACACCCCCTGCCCTCCCACCCACTGTGCATGGGAATTTCAGCGGGGCATCCCCGCTCCCCTAGGGAAAGGAAAAGAGACACCTGTCAGCAGTCAG